GTTCACGCCATCCTAAATTAATCATGAAAACCTGAAGGAAAGTAGCAGGCTGTTAACTCAAAGGAATATAGTATTTCTATTTGCTGGGCTCTTTTCCTCTTGGACATTGTTCCCCTACCTCTAAAATGGAAAATTTCTAGGCTATAGGTGTAGCTAGTTACTAAGGCACATGTTTAGCAAGTGTGAGGCCCTGGATTCAATCCCCAGCACCACAAAAATAAAATAGGAAACTTCCCCTGGGCCCTCCTCCCTAAGGCTGCTATCTAGGTCATTTGTTGTTTAAGAGTTCTGAGTGCTTCCAATTAACTCAGCTCATGAGAGCTAAAAGAGTTTTGCCATCTATCTGCATTTCTGATTCTTGGCCTTGGGTATATATGCTCTGGGCTTAGAGGAGCTCTTCATGTAAAGGAATACATGAATACTTGCTACTGTACCTTCCAGTACCCCCATCCTTGAACCTTTGCTTTTTCAACTATAATAACCTATCTTCCAAGTGATAATCCATCAATTCATAGCAACATTTGCTATCATAATTGTTTCCTTACTTTCATTTTTCACTTGTGTGAATGTATTTTGAAACCCATTTTTTCTTCAATCTTCAAGTTTACTTCCTCCAAGCTACCCTTTCGTATTATTTAACTGCCACAGAATCTAACTAAGACTTAAATCCAAAATCTCTACTTATGTGACTTGAGAGTATGGTTAAATAACTTGCTCAGTTATTATCCATCAAGTATTTGTTTTGCTCCAAACCAATTTTATTTATACCTTGATCAGAAAATTTTAAGTAACTACTAACCTTGGAATCTAGTTGGGGAAGAAGACCTGTCTGGTAAAATATTTTTCCCTTATGCAATCACATTCAGTCCTCTTTGACAAGTACTGCATAAAACTACACATCCTCCAACCTTGTGTTATAGTTGTGAAGACTTTTGTGGCAAATCTGTCAAGGAACTCTAAGGCACCACACATGGGGATACAGTAAGGTACCTCAAGTGACAGGGATGACCACATTTATTCCCTGTTCACACAGCCCACGTTAAAGAAAACAAATCAATAAATACAAGAGATTATCTCAAACTCTAAAGTGTGACTCTTAAACTAAGCTGCACACTGGAATTGCCAACTTTGAGAAAATGATACTCAAAGAACCAAATTTTAATGTCAGTAACAAAGCTAAGCTTAACACTACATGTGTGATATGGATATATACGTATAAATAAACTTGTTAAAAATATAGACATATGAATGGGATCTACAAATACCCAATTCAACACACTGATCATCACTCTTTGGGGAATGAGAAGATATACACACGGGAGGTTTCAGTGTTTTGGTAATATATTTCTCTTAACATTGGTTGATGATTCACATATTATTTATTAAATTAGTCCTCATTATCTTTTGTATAACTAATTTTATAAAACAAAAAATAGAAAGATAGTATATAATCAAATGAGTATCATCCTAGAAATACAAAGAAACATTTCAGGCTGAAAGTATGGTACTTAGCCAGTGTAGTGCTGCACTTATGGAATTATAAGATTCCAACACCTGGGAGGCTAAGGCAGGAAGATCACTGCAAGTTTAAGGCCAGCCTACGCTACACAGTGAGTTCAAGGCCAATCTGAACTACACAGCAAGACCCTGCCCCTTCCCCCCCAAAAAAAATGCTGTACTCAAAAATCTGGGCATGATGGCAGCCAACTATAATGCCAGCACTCAGGAAGCTGAGGCAGGATTGTCAAGAGATTAAGGGCAGCCTGGGCTGCTTAATGACTTCAAGGCCAGCCTAAACTACATTGTGAGACCCTGTCTCCAAAAATAAAAAGATACTTTACTACGAAACAGGCCTTGAAGAAAAGTAAAACAGGTTACAATTAAAAAGCAACACAAATTTTTCTAAAGGAAAAGTATGAACAAAGGCAAAGTTAGGAGCACCCATAGGCTACAACCTAAATAAAGAACATCGAAATAGATGCACCTTAAGAACACTAATAGAAGGCTTTGGCTTAAGACTGAGATAAGTAAGGGATGCCTCCAATACTAAGTAGAAAAGTACATTTCTAATTTCCTGCCCCCCCAAAAAAAAAACAGTAACATCATTTAAGTGATGTGTTAGCAAAATAAAATCAGAAGCCACATACAGGATAAAGTAAAGCAAATCATGTTCTATAGGTTTTGTAGGACAACAAAGGGAAAAAGGAACAAAAGACTGACAACCAGGTCCTATGACCCTTCCTCTACACCAACTAAAGACCGTATGCTGTCTTGTTTTGTTTTGTTTTGTTTTTTCTTTTAAACTATTTTTGAAAACCACTGGATTAATATAACCAGTTAGAAGGCACTGCTTCAATTCAAGGGTTAAGCATCACAATACCCTGGAATGGAGTAATCCTGGAAATGAAAAAGGGAAGAAAATCATGAATCCACAGATTTTTTAATGGAAAATTTGGTAGTATGTAGTAAAAAACTAGATAGCATAATGAAATAGTAGTCCTACACACACACAGACACACACACACACAAAAAAAAAAAAACTTAAATGTCAAGAGCTCCTGGTCATAGTCTTGAACATCCGCAGCATATATCTGACTGCATGTCTGAACACAAAGGAAGGGCTCCTCAAGGCAGAAGAGCTAAATGCTATTCTTACAGAGATTAAGAAGCAAATATGCAAAGAGGACAAAGAGATTATAGAAGAAATGACCACTATATTATGGACCACTAAGAAAGTTTCCAAAAGGCATCAATGTACATAAAAGAGTACACACCCTTTGAGGCCAATTAGGACAAAGAATTCTGTCACCTTCTCCACTTGACGAAGTTATTTAATCTCTCTGAGCCTCATTTAATAAGGAAAACACAATTACCAATAGTATTGAATCCATTACAGATACTGTGTTAAGTGTTTTACATATGTAAAGTATCATTTAATCTCCATAATCATTCTGCAAAGTTTAATTTAGAATAGAGGTGTAAGCGACAAAACCAGGATTATTATTTCCTAAAATTATTTAAGTAAACACATATGTATATGTGGTAACACATCACATAAAGTTTCAGTCACTGATATACAAAAGTGTGGAAAATTACAGTGGAAAGTGATACTAGTCTTCTAGCCTTTTATGTAGCTTTATATAAGTATAGTATGATATGTGAACAATAAAATCACCTAACAAGTTTCTCAGTATAAATCTCACTAAATGATGCATTACTGTATAAATCTCTTGGCAAACAATATAGCCTCAAAAAATGGTAAACATACTTTATTATTAGAAGATAATGATCAAAAAGAGAAACACAAATTTCAATAACTTCTGTAATAGCATTCTATGCAGCAAATTTAGTGTCCTCATGTATAGGTGCCTGTAATTCAACCCACTCTATAGGGTTCTTGAAAGGATTAAACACAATAATATGAAAATTTTTAAAGAAACATTCAAATACGTTTAATATGACATATCTCATGCTCTTCAAAAATGCCTTCCTCAACTGGGGTGCATGCCCATAGTACAGCTACTAAAACTGAGGCAGGAGGATAGCTTGAGCCCTAGAGCTAAAAGTCAGCCCAGGCAGCACAGGGAGACACTCTCCAGGGGGGAAGAAAAACCTAAAAGAAATGCCTTCTTGTATCAATATAAGTCTCTGAAGAGAGTTAAAAGTAAGTCTGTTAAGTGCACAAGCACTTAACACTTTGAAAAGTACAAATAACCAAGGAATTGCTACCCATACCTTCCCCTGACTCCTCAAGTTTATCAAATTATCTCTGCAAAGGCAGGGGTTCTCTTACACCTGTAATGAAACTGATAACTCCTACAAAGTCGGCCAATAGCATCACCTTAAAAGTGCCCTCTTGCAATTTTTCCAAAGCATAAAGAGAAAAAAGTTATTGATTTTCTTCTATAGTATTAAAATGGGGTCCAGTGGGTACTGGAAGACAGAATGCTAGGAAAGACCTCTAAGTTGACTTGTTTCCAAAGTTCACTTTCGGAAATCTCTACCTGTCTTCCCTTTTTTTCACCTGAACAGATGGATTCCAGGCCTCAAGGCTCACATATCTTGTCACACAATTCACAATAGGTCCCAAAGTCCCTACCTTTTTAATTATTCCACATTCTTGAATGCACCTTTCATCTAGGTATCAAACTACATGAACTCTTTATTTAATCTTCACAGCAGCACTCTCTGAGAGTACCCTTATTTTCGCAAATTTAAAATGAAAGACTGTAGTTAAATGTTTTATCCACATCAAACAATTACTTGGTTTCTGCTTTGAGAGTAAGGAATACACATTATGAAGTTACATCAATGGACAACATTGATTTAGCTTCCTAAGAGCACGGCAAGTATTAGTTCAAACACATCTACTTTATATGCATACATTTCTACTATATCGCCGACTAAATATAAACTTACAATAAATGCCACACTAAAGCATCACTATTTTTACATGCAAAACTGCATGGGGGAGGGGGTTCTAATTTAAGGTTCCCACTGTCTCGTATCCATAAATTCCTCCCAACTTGAGAGGAGAGGGGGAGGAACACCTGTCAGAGCAGCGGAGCCTCAGTAAGTTTCACACAGTGTAGCTACTAATACTTAATTCCTTAAAATGTAAATAAACGCGCTTTTTTCCAAAAAGAGGGGCAGAGGCAACATTATTAGGAACATTCGACAAGAACGCCTACATGGCTGTAAGAAGAGCGAATCCTCCTCTAGGCCTCCTGCCCTCGCGAACTTGCCACGAGGGGACCCTCCCGGGCCGCGGAGCCGCGCTGCCCACCCTGCTTCCCGCGCGCCGGGTCCGCCGGCCGCGGCGGCGCCCTC